CAAACACTGGAATAAATTGCCCAGGGAGGTTGTGGAATCCCCATCTCTGGAGATATTTAAGAGTAGGTTAGATAAATGTCTATCAGGGATGGTCTAGACAGTATTTGGTCCTGCCATGCGGGCAGGGGACTGGACTCGATGACTCTCGAGGTCCCTACAGTCCTAATATTCTATGATTCTGTGGAGATTCCACAATCTCCCTAAGCAATTTATTCCAATGTTATGCCTATCTCCTCTTGGCACCGAAATACTATTTACAATTATGAAAAGGGTTTAATGTACTGTTGTTTAACGGAGCTATAACTAGTCAGTTATTTTAAAAGGAAAGATTGGTCTCTGAATTCCTTCCAAATTGCCGACATATTTCCAGTAATGCGGTGCTGAAAACTAAACAGAGTATTCCAGGTGCGGTCTCATCAGACAACGCTCTCCAAATACAGAGACCAATTTCAATGGTTAAATATGGTACACAATCACATCCTGGCAATACCATCTAAGTTTTCAGTGTACAAGCAAAAGCAGAACTTTAAAAATGGTTTTTAATATAAGACTTATGGAACAGTGGACTAACATCTATAGCTATCCTGTAGAAAAGTGGGGGTATCCTCTACAAGTCAAAATACAACATTGGAAGTCTAGAATTATGGTTTGTTTAAACAAACCCTTTGTCTTTGGGTCATACTGTGACCTTACATAAGCCAATTTACTTCCCCAGGTTTCAGTCACCCCATTTTTAGAATGGGTTCTATTGTGTGTCTCCCAGTGTTATCATGGGTGTGTGATTCTATCTGTCCATCTGTCTGCAAGTCTGTTTCTTTAAGAACTCCTCCTAAACAGTAAAAGCTAGGACTACCACATTTGGTATGCAGCTTCCACTTAGAATAATAGACTCTGGGACTGGAAGAGACATCAGGAGGTCATTGAGTCCAACCACCTACCCAAAGCAGGACCAACCCCAATTAAATCAACCCAGCCAGGGCTTTGTCAAGCCAAGACTGAAAAACCTCTAGGGATGGAGATTCCACCACCTCCCTAGGGAACCCATTCTGGTACTTCACCACCTTCCCAGTGAAATAGTTTTTCCTAATATCCAACCTAAACCTCCCCCACTGAAACTTGAGACCATTGCTCCTCG